CCAGGCAGGCGACCCGCAGGTCGTTTTCAGATAAGACCAGCACTAATTTCGGCAGTCAGAGTCTCAGCATGACCCGTAAGCTCCGGCAGTGATTACGGCCATTAATAGGGGTGTAACGGTTCACATAAGTCACGGTTCGGTTCGGTTCGGTACAACAAGAAAAAGCAAAAAAAAGTCCCAAATGCATAATTCCAGGTTTGTTGTTATTTATGTTTGAACAGTAGTGCAAGTTTCAGTTTAAAAATAAGGAACTCTGACATTTTGAATAATTAACTGTATTAAACAGTTCAAAACAAACCACACACAGTACCACACACCCTCAGATGGCCATATTATCTATAATGGCTGATGTCAAACAAAAAGGTTTCATCAAGCTGTAAAACTAAAAAGAATGTCTTGAAAATCATAAATAATAAGAAAGTGTTTGAAGCCGTTGAAAAACATATGCCAAAAGCTTCCGTTATTTATTTTGGTCTCTCGGCTCTCATGTCTATTGGCTTCTTTAAAAACAGCGGGGATCAGCTGTTGAACTGCGGCTGTCTTTTGCCGGGATCCGGTGATTGGCAAATCTGGGTGATGCCTTCTGATGTGATTTAGCATGTTGGCGTGTGTTGCCATTAGCATACCGCACCGCTGTAGAACAACGCCGACACACCGTCCTCGTCCGATCCACCACTCGCACACTTGATCGTTATTGTAGTCCACAGGGAACCCGACATGTTCCCACACAGCTGATTTAAAAGAAGCAGGTGGGTTCTAGCTCCTGTGTGTTATCTGAAATCGCCATACACAACTTTTCTTCTTCTTGTATTTTGTTTTTTTTGTTGTGTTTCTTCTTGTTCATTTGTTGTTTAAGGGCGGCTGGCAAACAGCTTTTAGGCGCAATACCGCCCCCTGGATTATATATAGTGTAATGTATACTGCCCTGAAAGACTTTTTTTCCACTCGTAAAAAAAAGGTGTATTCGTCGTGTGATTGCATGTGCCGAACCGTGACGTCCGAACCGTGACGGTACGGGACGAATACGGATACCGTTACACCCCTAGGCCCAATGCCGCTTACATATGTTAATCTATTATCTTTCATTCCCAGATCACCAGTCACCCCACAAGGTAAGCAACTCAGTTCATCTCAGTATTTCATACTTCACTGGTTTTGGGGATTTCATCGGAGCGGTTCTTTCCCTCCTGAATGATTATCCTGCAAACCGGGGCCTAATCGCCAAACACCATTCCATTCTCCTGTTGTATTATCATGGCAATCATTTCATTCATATGATGTGTAAACAATAAATATGTAATTCTTACATCACGTCTCTCCGGTTTGAAATTAAAGCTTTAGCGCAAGTTCAATAAGGAAGACCTAACACGAGTCACTTACACGTCACTCTATGGCTCCCTTCCCCCCTCATTAAATACGAGGGCGTCACCCCTCAGCAGCCAATCGTGCACATGCTAAATTCCTTAAATGCCTGCTCTTCCTCCCTGTCAGTTGTCATTGCAGATGATCACACGCAACCCGCCTCCACCCCTCTCGCCTCCTGTCTCCTTCAGGACAAAGCTAAACCTTCCTCCTTCAGACCGGTCTCACCTACTCATCACCACCACCAGTGTCTAGACCCCGGGGATTTCATCGGAGCGGTTCTTTCCCTCCTGAATGATTATCCTGCAAACCGGGGCCTAATCGCCAAACACCATTACATTCTCCTGGTGTATTATCGTGGCAATCATTTCATTCATATGACGTGTAAACAATAAATATGTAATTCTTACATCATGTCTCTCCGGTTTGAAATACCGTGGGAATGATACATACTTAAATCAACATGAAGAATGTTCTCTTAAGCATGACACTCCAAGCAAACCTCACTTAACCATAGTCAATTAATTGTAAACTACAGTATGTTGAGGAAAGGGTTGAAATGTGCACAGATTATTATTACTTTTATTATAATTTAGTTCTACTTTAGTTAATTAGTGACTTCCCTAATAACCGCTTCAGATGCATGTGTACAGTTGTTGGCTCAGTAGTAATTTGTTAATACATTTTAAAAGGTGCATTAGAGACATGGATCAAGAGAGGAAGGGGCCCAGAGATAGCTTATGTATAGGGCCCGGAGTTTTGTGCTACGCCCCTGGGTGGAGGTATGCCCATTATTTAAAATGTGTCAGAAGAAAAGACAGGAATGTGACGGTAAGGTGCAAACTGTGTCCAGGCCAGAAGCTGTTATCCACTGCTGCAAACACAACATCAAACCTCTCCAAGCACCTGCAGAGGCAACATGCTAACACGAAGCTAGTAGCTAAAGACCCCCGATCCAGAGTGATGATGTTCAGTGAGTGCCGACTCCGAACAAGCAGCAAAATCTAGAATTTTCACCGTTATTACGTAACTTGTGTTATGTCTTCCTTATTGCAATAGTAATTGTGATATATGTGCACATGTAGGCCTAAGTTTTAAGTTTTGGCTATAGGCTGTTGCTGAGTAACGCAAAAGTAATGTAAAGAGTAATGTAACGAAGTAATTTAACTTTTTTTTAAAGTAATGAGTAATATGTAATACATTACTTTTTTTGAGTAATGACCCCATCACTGCTGTTGGGGCTGGTAACATCACAGTTTGATACGACTAAACATTTAGGGATTTAATTATAAATTAAGACATGTGTTCAAAATGTCAAATTCAGAAAGCATTGTACTCCAGGCCATTCTTTTTAAAATGTAGGATAGCATATTTCAGGTAAATTGGGGAATGTCCAAAGGCCTTTTAAAATCAAGTATACACAACCATGGTTTAACCACTATTCATGTGGTGGCCGACAGGTACAAACACACTACCATGATAACAATACAAAACAAAAGCTCATCATATTAAGCTAAAATAATATCTTGCAATGTTAGACATACAGTACATTCAAGGTTAAGATCTTTCTATGTCATTATGTTTGACAAAATAATGAGCTATGCTTTGTGAAAAATATCCTAAAACTTCAATTGTTGCACATAAAGTAGACACCTTGAGAAATTTGAAAATGTATCATGTTGTATTTATAAATCGATTACAAGAACGCCATCACAAAAATGTATAATTTCAAAATGTTTCCAATGTAGCTGAGTTTAGGTATTTTTGGACGTTGTAGGGTCTATGGCAATGTCTGACTTTGATTAGGACTAAGATATTAAAAAACTGTTGCTATAAACTTAACATTTGAAGATCTTCTGATTTATCTTCTGGCCCTACTGTGTGGTTGAATTTGTTATGGTCAAATATCTAAACTTAAATGTCACAAATAAGAAAATGACTTCAGTGATCTATTGACTTTGTCTCTAGTGCTACCAGCTACCAGCTAAAGATTGGAATTATAAATTGCAACAAAATTAGGTTAAAATGTTATTCTGACATATTATCTGTTCCCACTGTTCTTTAACTGAATTCATGGACTCAAATTCCCTCTCAATTCCTTTTCAATACAACATTCTTAGTACAAATAAACATTAAAAAACACATACAAACAAAAACATAAAACGTCATTACAGCTGAATCTAACACAGGAAACTAAACATTTGTCTATTCATGATGTCACACCTTATTTCAAACATTCACACATTTAATTATTCATTCATACTGGTCCTTACATCCTTTTAAAAACAATTTAATTAGGTTTCATACCAGCCTGTCTGACATATTTACAATGGAAAATGGAAATGTTTCTCTGTTGTAGTCGACTGATCCACCACTCGATGTCACTGTTGTTATGTTGCATTAGTTGTAAGGTTGCAGAGTTCTCAACATTAACTTACCATAATGCTTTAAGATAAGGTTAGTTTATTTATATAGCACATTTCAGACACGAAGGCGATTCAAAGTGCTTTACAAAAACTGAAATCAATTATAAAACTAAATATATTGACCAAAAAGACAAATCATAAAAGAGATAGACATTAGTTAAACAGAGAAATTGTAAATACACATAATGCTGTAAGGAGTGCTGAAGTGCAATATTAAATCATATTTAAATGACCTCGGGGAAAACAGCATAAGAAGCAAGGTTTTACGCCTTGATTTGAATGAACCCAGGTTTGGGGCGGACCTCAGATTCTCAGGACACGTCGTAGTTTCCAGAAATTGTGTTGTCTGTTTTTACAATGGCGTTAGCTATTTTAGCAGTTAGCCTCTCCACTCAACTTCATCAACAAAAATGCTTATCACTGATGAGGTAAAAAAGTTAAAACGTCATTTTCTGCAACAATGTTTTCGTTAGTCTGGACTTAACACCAGATATTAAACTAAACATAAACACGCTTAACCCTTGTGTTGTGTTCAAAAGCTGTTACCGTTTATGGTGTTCGCAGGTCAATTTTGACCCATGATTTATCTCATTCCAAAACACACACAAAAAATGACTATCATCCAATATTGTTTTAACTACATCATAACTAACTTATAATGCATTCATAACCCTACAATCCTGTTGTAATGTAATGTTATGGCCCAAAACACATCACACCACATATTGCACACGTGCATGTGTGTGTTCAGGTTCAAGTGTTAGTGTACATATTCTTTGAGAAAGGTCGAGTTCCCGTGGGGGGAGGGGGGCAGAGGGAGGGGAGACCAGGTGCATGTTGCGAACAATTATTGTTACAGTGGATGAAGGAGGTGGGGGAGGGGTGTCTAAAGTCAAAGATGAATATTGATTGGGCCAAATTTGACCTCGAGTCACCCAAAACAATTCTGCTGGGTCTCCCCAGACCCCAACACCAAATTATACACTTTTAGACCTTCAGACTTGGCAAAAATGGTCAAAATCTGTTTTGTAGTGTTTATATAGCTGTTGTGGAGGATATCATGAAGCCTTGTTCCGATACAAAAAAACTAGAGCGTAGTTATTATATAATTTGAACTTGAAACGGGTCACGGGAGACCCGAGCACAACATATGGGTTAACTATCAAACTAGTTTCACTGCGTTGTTTAGTTTACATTTAAGAGGTGAAATTCATGGTATTACTGCACTGTAAATGTAGTGTTTGCTGACACATTAGAAAAAGCATTTAAAATAATAATGTGATAACATTTCAGGGCTGCTTTATCTTTATGTTGTGAAGCTCTTCTTCCTCTGAACGGCCTGTTGGACGAGAAGTGAAAAGAGGGAAGTGTCAAAGAGCTTTGATCAAGTGTATGTTAGAATGAGTGCTCTGATAATGTGGTTCTATAGTGGTTCCTTCAGATTAACTAAGTTAAATATTTCTACAGAAACCTTTGAACATACATATAACATATCTTAAAACGTACCTTTAGCACAAAGAAGACGGCTGAGTCTATACACTCTCGTATATCGCTGAAGTGTTCTCATACACAGCCTCTTCTAGTTCTAGGAGGAAAGAAAAGTGTTAATACATCTTATTTTTAATACATATGTACAATTTCATCACATGATTACTAACCTTTAATATCAGATTGTGGTTCAGCTTTGTTGTTGTTTCTGATTGTGTTACTGCTTTGTTGTTGTTTTCTAAAAAGCAATGATAAAATACAGACATGCAAACAGATCCACTCAATTCAAACTGTTACTTTTTATTACACAGACTGCAGTTTAGATGTTTCAACTTACTTTGTGTTATAAACGTAGTACCCTCCACCGACACATAACACAAACGAGTCATAACTAAAGGGCTTAGGAACATCTGGAGAATATATAATAAGAGCAGGCCCTTTGATGAACATCAACCTTTTGTAGGTTGAGTAAAAGAGGTTGTTAAACACAATGTCTACACCATTCCAGCTCCACATTTTCTGTCTGATATCTTCCAATGTGCTGATCCTGAATCTTCCTCCTGCCTGGTTTTTGAGTCAAGCTTTTGGGTCTAAACTTGGAGATACTGAGCCATCACCTTTCCCATACTTGTAATTGAGTATTACTATGAAAATAGGTTTATGTTATATACTTAAGATCTTTTCCACTTACTTTTTGTAACAAAGGAAGTAGCACACAATAGCAGCTACAACACCGAGGACGACTAAAACTCCGATTACTATTCCAGCGATGCAACCACCCGAACAGCCTGATTGGACTTGAATAAAACAGGAGAAAAGAACATGATTTTAACATCATTCTGTAAACAGGAACTGTCTCATTATCTCAAAATGCCTGTGGATAAAAAGCATATCACATTTCTCCCAATAGGATATTTAATAGCCAGTTATAAAAACCTATAACATGATTCTGTTAAGAGTTGTTTATGTTGTTTAAAATGCATTTAAAATTACCATAAGCCCTCAAGTCCAGGCTTATTTTCTTCTACAGTTCCTGTTCTATCGATGGCATTAAAAGAAAAGGTATAAAAGCACATAAACACAGTTAAAGCGCATTAGCAGAGTGAAAAGACAACAAAAATAGACCCTAAATACATCAGAAAAGCACATGCACAAGCACGGACAAACCTTACCGCAACGACAATTAGAAAAGGAAAACACACAACAACAATTAAAATAAGGAGAGCATGTCTGATTGTTTGAGTTGATGTTATGTTCCTTAGATCTTAAGGTACGTGCTGCCAGTTAGAAGAGTAGTTGTACTTTTACTGAAAGGTATTTTACAATCCCCTCTGCTAGTCCTTCTAGTTAACAAGATTTTATTTTGTTTAATAAAAAAGCAGCGTTCAGTTATTATGCTCCAAATATCTGGAACAAACTCCCAGAAACCTGCAGGTCCGCTGCAACTCTGACTACTTTCAAATCCAGGCTGAAGACTTTTCTTTTTGTCGCTGCTTTTATTTGAACTATTCATATCTTAGACTGCACTGTAACTTTTATCCATGTATTTTGTCTTTTAATGTTTATTTTATTATCTTTGCTTTTTAATGACTGATTTTAAATGCCATTTTCTTAATGTCTTTCGTTTTTTGTAAAGCACTTTGAATTGCCTTGTGTTGAAAGGTGCTATATAAATAAACTTGCCTTGCCTTAATGAATGTATTGAACGGAGAGGGGGCTATCATTTTTTTTAAAAACACATGTAAATTATCTGCAAATTGATCATGTTTTCTTAGTTTAAAATAATCAAAATTGATGACAGAAATTTGAGTTTTATTGCATTTTTTATGTTCGTACTGACTTTAATATGCTCCTACCTGGCCCTGGCTCTGGCTCATGTGTTACGGTCAGTTCATGGACCGCTGATGATTTTCTCCCGGTTATATCATTCCACGCTTCACAGTAGTAGTTGCCACTGTCAGATAATTCAGTGTTGTTTTTATAAAACACAGCAGAAGTGTGTATCTCTGTCCCATTCAGCGTCCAGGTGTAATTGGCAGTTGGTACAGATGCAGCCCAGCAGGTTAATTTAAATGTGCCTCCCACATGTATCTGACTTGGACCTGTGATTTGAACTGTTTCTGGTCCATCTGGAAAACAGATATTTGGAAGTATTTATTGTTCAAGTGGACTCAATAATCTGAACGTATCATTGTGAACAGTAGAGTTATAGTTTGTTACCTACAGTTAACTATCATGGAGTAGTTTGCTTCCTCGCTGCTGAGGGGGTTGCTGATATTACAGGAATAATCTCCTGTGTCGTCTTTACTCAGACTGCTAAAAGACAGCTCTCTGCTGTTGTCGGTGAGGGTCATGTTTACAGTCGGAGTCAGATCTAAGCCTCCCTTTCTCCACTCTCTGGTAAAGACAGAGCCAGCAGCGTCACAGATTAATCTGAAAGAGTTCCCCTCAATCGGCAGGTTTGATGGAGATGTGACAGAAGCGCCGGATACTTTCTCTGTTGGGCAAAAGATCACGTGAAGATATAAAAGCAGGAACAAAAGAAGTTGATTTAATGCCTGAGTTAATAAATATAAAAGGAACAGTTCCTCTTTATAAAATGCAAACATTGTTCTACTTCCCCCTGAATATATACGTAACATGCTGAGTGTCTGACTGCCAACAGTCTTTTTTAAATGCATTGTTTTGGACAACCTATCGCTCAGAAATATCATATACTCTATAACTATACTATATATACAACTATATTCTTAGGAAGATAGTTTGTCAGTTTCCACACTGACTAACAGAAAACGGCTTCATTATTTGCAGGATTTATTTTACAACTGAATCAAAACATTGGGAGTTAAAGGAATCAAATGTTATATTAAACTGCTAGACACTTGGTCTGTCTGAAGGGCACGAAGCACCTTTAACCAACACAGATTATGCTAGTGGACACTACTCTACTGTATCTTCAACTTTTTCCTTTAACCGTCCTATTTCAAACTTACCCAGTACAGAAACAACTGAAGGCTGAGACGTTTCATATCTCAGAGTCTTGTTGTTAAAGGCCTGACAGCTGTAGTAGCCACTCTGACTGATCTGAACGTTCATCAGACTGAGATCTGATCCAGTATCAGACAGCTGGGCTCCATTCAGAAACCACTTAAATACAGCAGAAGGTCTGGAGTCAGCTGAGCAGTTCATGCTGATGTCTGACCCGTTCTCATAATATTTTTGTGGCTGAGATATTGTCAAATGCGTTTTTTCTGGACCATCTATGTGGCATACGGGGAGTAAAGAAATGCATTAAATTAATGCTGGCAGCTTAAATACAATGTTACGTGACCACTTAGCTCAGTGTGAAGCCTCATGAAACCATCAACTTTAAAGCAATGTGCAGAATAACATGTATGCACATACTGTATGAGTAACTCACAGTAGATGGTGAGGTTTAGTGGATCACTGGTGCCATTACTGACAGGATTGAACACCTGACACCTGAAGGGTCCCTGGTCGTAGCGGGTCACATTAATTATAGTTAAAGTGGAGTTTCCATCAGTGATCTGAACTCTGTCACTTCCTGTAACCTCAGAGCTGCTGTTCAGCCAGAGCAAAGAGAGAGAGGATCCAGAGGAGGAGCAGGACAGACTGACAGAGCTGAACTCCACCAGCTCTGTTGGTTCTGAAGTTACCACAACATTGGTAACTGGTGCTGTGGGTGGAAAACACAGGGGGTTTACTTCAAATGCGTTTTTTCTGGACCATCTATGTGGCATACGGGGAGTAAAGAAATGCATTAAAGTAATGCTGGCATCTTAAAGACAATGTTACGTGACCACTTAGCTCAGTGTGAAGCCTCATGATACCATCAACTTTAAAGCAATGTGCAGAATAACATGTATGCACATATGAGTAACTCACAGTAGATGGTGAGGTTTAGTGGAGCACTGGTTCCCTCACTGACAGGATTAAACACATGACACCTGAATGGTCCCTGGTCGTAGCGCGTCACATTGACTAAAGTGAATCCTCCATCAGTGATCTGAACTCTGTCACTTCCTGTAACCTCAGAGCTGCTGTTCAGCCAGAGGAAAGAGAGAGAGGATCCAGAGGAGGAGCAGGACAGACTGACGGAGCTGTTGAACTCCACCAGCTCTGTGCTGCTGGAGTTTACTGTTACTTTGGAGACTGGTGCTGTGGGTTAAAAAACAAAAACAATGTTTAAAGCTGCAGGAGAATATAACACTGCAGTGGCTGGGAATAAACTTCATGATTAAGATGAGATCATTCATATTCATGGCTGCATATTGCCAACAAATTGTTTTTACCTATTATCTTATGACAATGGTTCAAGGACCAAAACGTTTATTTGAAGGATTTTAGAAATGCCATGCACAATAGAGGGGACTTTAATTTCAGTTTTTGTTAATGTTTTGTCAAACTGGCATTGATTTTATTAATCTGTTATTAATCTGTAATTTTTAATGTTAGTTCTTTATGATAAATGTTCAATATGATGAAGTTCAATTTGGCTAATCTAGAAAGAATACCTATATCACTGAATCCATTGTCTCTTAGTACATATTTAGCATTTGCTGAAATGTACGAGACGTTAGATGTACACCAAATAAATCTTCAAACTCAAAGTAACAAATATGTAATATATTGTTGATCACAATTTATGGAAATACCATTAAAATAAGCATATTGTTCATCAACTCAGTGGAGAAGTGACTCACAGTAGATGGTGAGGTTTACTGGATCACTGGTTCCCTCACTGACAGGATTAGAAACACGACACCTGAATGGTCCCTGGTCGTAGCGCGTCACATTATTTATAGTTAAAGTGAATCCTCCATCAGTGATCTGAACTCTGTCACTTCCTGTAACCTCAGAGCTGCTGTTCAGCCAGAGGAAAGAGAGAGAGGATCCAGAGGAGGAGCAGGACAGACTGACGGAGCTGAACTCCACCAGCTCTGTGCTGCTGGAGGTTACCATTACATTGGAGACTGGCTCTGTGGGTTAAAAAAATAAAAAAATATATATTATAAAGTTACAGTATAAGATAAACACTGAACCAGATGGGAATCTCTTGTTAAGATGACATAATGAACATTCATGGCTCCACATTGAACGTTTTTACCAGCTCCTTCCACAAAAAAGGAGCTGGTAAAATTAGAATTTTTCTACATTTTTATTTGATGATGGTGAAAAGAATAAAGGGCCTATATCATTGTTTACTTGCTCAATCGCTACACAGCATCTTCATTCAGCAGAGAAAGATATGCAACATGTGAAACTTTCTCACCGTATACGTTCAGTCTTGTGGTCCCTGACTGTGGCGGTGCTCCAGGTATTAAAATGGTAACTGAGTATTCTCCTCTGTCAGTTAGAGTCAGGTTCCTGAGCTCAAGAGATCCAGTAGACATGAAGAAGGTGATCCTGCCTTCATACTCTGGTCCAGTGTAGTTGCTACCACTGAAAGAAAATACATTCCTTACACCAAATATCCAGGTCACTGATCCAAAAGTTGTTCCTGGAGTCAGTGTTGTGGTGAACATCACTTTCCCTCCCACAACTGCACCATGACCGTCTGGCAACACACCAGCTCCTTCAGTTAAACCTGGAGAGAGACAGAGAGAGGGATTTACTTTAGAAATCAATCAAAACACAAAACTGCAGCAGGAAAAGTTATATCTGTTCTCTATGAAGAAACTCACTCTTTTAGAATTAGCTTTTGAGGTATTTCTAAAACCTAAGTTTAGCTGCAAGCAAAAACAAAACCTCAGAATAAAGTTCAGTGAAAATAATGCTTAAACCCCTTATGTGAGAAATGTTTCTTCCCACAGACATTTAGATTTCAAAGACAGGGGAACTGCTTCCAACTGAGAGAAAACTGACTGACTGTCAATAATTAAAGGTCAAACTTTGTTGAATAAATAACCAAACACTTTTAGCTGCTGTAGAGTATTAAATGCTAAGAGCTCACCTGAGATGACTCCCAGGACGATGAAGTGTATCACAGCTTGTCCCATGTTTTTCTGCAGCAACATCAGATCATAGAAAAGAGATCATACTTTAAGAAGGCTGATTTCCATATATGAAGGTAAAACAAGGAAGGAGTGTGTGCAGGTGGGGTTTTTTCCATTTGAATACCTCTGAAAAGTTACTTACCTGAACCGTTGATCATTTACAGAATATGCAACAAGCTACTTTGAAAATAATCTTTAATAATTAATTATAAAGGTGAAGTAAAAGTTTATGGTGACAAAATTACAACCAGAGAACATGGTGCAGAGGAATCACACCAGTTACATTTCACCACGGGTGTACAGTGGCTTTTTGCCCCTCTTGCTTTGACTAAGGACTTGTTCATAGTCGACTTTCATTTGGTCTCAACTACATGTTTCAAAGTTTAAAAAAAACATACATGTACAAATCTGGCAAAGTACTCAAAACAGCTTCTGTGATAGTTCCCACTACAGTGAGTATTTCATTTAAGAATGTCAAGGAGTTAAAGTCCTCTCAAATACAACATTCTTAAATGTAATAGACATAAAAAACAAACACCACTCCCTCAAATACAAATATTCTACGGAAATTGACTTTTATATTGGTCTCTAGGTCGGAGCAATAATCAAGACTTCATTAGTTTGCCATGATTGTCATGTTGGATATGCTCTTGCTTTTGTTTTCTGTGGGATAATATTAATACCACAGTAGTATATGCAAACATATTTACACCACTAGAGGACAATGTCTTGCAGCTTTAGAGCCTGAAGCTTCACTGGGTTTAACCATAGACTGTATATATAAAGGGTTTAACTCATTAGGCAGAAACGTTGTACCTCAACACGAAGGTAGTTCTGCATTTACTCACTGATATGTTGAGAACGGCAAGAGGCTCACATTTATCAGGACAGTCAAGTTTGATGGCTGACATTTCTGTGGCTGTTCATATCTCACAAAGATACATCAATGGATATGTTAGCTTTACTTTGGATAATCTCTCTGGTTTCTATAGGTAAGAATAATATATTTTGTTGAAGTTTTCAATCTTCTGCTATCTTTCCATTTTTCTATATTTTTTTTAACGTCAATTTATTGTTAAAAAGTTGTTAAAAATGAGTTAAGCTAATAATCTCGAGGTCTGCTTTTCATTATTGTGTTAAACGATAGCATCATAAATAGCAGACCAAACGCATGACTGATAAAAGTAAATGGCTAAAACAAATAATTGCTTTACAGTTAGCATGTGATAGAGGTAGTATTACGATTTTATTACTTATATGCATACAAAAAGTGATAACATGTTCATAGTATTTAAATGTAGCTGTTCTAAAAATCATATGAATCAAAATGTTGATTGATTGTTGACCCAGTGGCTTATTTTTCCAAAGACCTCTGTCTGTCTCTCTCCAGGTTTAACTGAAGGAGCTGGTGTGTTGCCAGACGGTCCTCTGAACGCAGCTGTGGGAGGGAAAGTGATGTTCACCACAACACTGACTCCAGGAACTACTTTTCAAATAGTGAACTGGAAATTTGGGGGTATTAGGGATATATTTACTTGGAATGTTAAGAACTTCCCTGCACCAGGGTATGAAGGCAGGATCACCTTCTTCATGTCTACTGGATCACTGGAGCTCAGGAACCTGGTTCAAACTGACAGTGGAGAATACATCGTCAGCATTTTTCCAGCTGGAGAACCATCAAAGACAGGGAACACAAGACTGGACGTATACGGTGAGAGAAAGCTCCACATGTTGCATCTCATTTAATGCTGACATTATGCGTAACAATTGAGCATGAAAACAGTTTATGAGCATGTTCTTCTTTGTACAATTGTGAGAAAATAATGAGTGAGAAAATGTTGGTTTTGTTGCGGCAGGAGCTTGTATGATGTTTAATGTTCAGCCATTAATAATCAACACCTCGTTAATATGAGATTCATTATCAGCCTCTGCAGTATTGTCTTGTACTGTAACTTTATAAAATATTTGTTGTGCTTCACCCACAGAGCCAGTCTCCAATGTAATGGTAACCTCCAGCAGCACAGAGCTGGTGGAGTTCAGCTCTGTCAGTCTGTCCTGCTCCTCCTCTGGATCCTCTCTCTCTTTCCTCTGGCTGAACAGCAGCTCTGAGGTTACAGGAAGTGACAGAGTTCAGATCACTGATGGAGGATCCCCTTTAACTATAACTAATGTGACCCGCTACGACCAGGGACCATTCAGCTGCCGTGTTTCTAATCCTGTCAGTGAGGGAACCAGTGCTCCAGTAACCCTCACCATCTACTGTGAGTCACTTCTCCACTGAGTTGATGAACAATATGATCATTTTTAATGGTATTTCCATAAATTGTAATCAACAATATATTACATATTTAATTACTCTGAGTTTGAAGATGTATTTGGTGTACATCTAACGTCTCGTACATTTCAGCAAATGCTAAATATGTACAAAGAGACAATGGATTCAGTTATATAGGTATATATTCTAGATTAGCCAAATTGAACTATAATAAAGAACTGACATTAAAATTACAGTCTGAAAAAACAGATTAGTTAAAGGGGACCTATCATGCAAAATGCACTTTCAAACATAAATATGTGTCCCCGGGAACTCACGCAGTGTCAGAAAATAAAACCCTCTCTCTTTTCCTCCGTACCCAAATCTTTTAAAAACGGGTGTACAACGAGCGGATACAGATTTCCATCCGAACTGACGTGTCCATCCGAGGTGACGTCGGCGGACCCACAGAAAGTTGATATCAGAAACAATGCCTGACGTATTTTGGAGGTCTTTGTTTACATTAGCAAGCCTCGCTAACAACTCAGAGCTAACCTGTACTGAACAGCATATGTTTAAAACGCAGGAAATAAAAAAAGAACTCGCCTTGTGATAAACCTGCAAGAGAAAAAGCATTTGAGCTCCATACTATTTCAGAAATAATCCTTGATGTGGTTTAAACAGGATGGCGTTTTATCACAACCAAATGTAACTTTATCTGCGGTAGAATTCTGATCAGGCATTAGCTCTGCCTCCTCTTATTTATTTATTTCAAGCTAAGGACCCAAAATCTACGTTTTTCTAACATGGCTGCAAAAGAGGGGTTTGAGCAGTATGAGGCATGGACACTGGGTGAACTGTTTGGTATTTTGAAAAAAATACTTCACAGACATGTTTTATAAAGGTATGGCCCTACAATATACTTTTCAAATATAGCAAATATAGCAAATATAGCACTTTAAATCAATGCCAGTTTGACAAAACATTAACAAAAACTGAAATTAAAGTCCCCTCTCTTGTGCATGGCATTTCTAAAATCCTTCAAATAAACATTGTTGATCCTTTTACCATTGTCATAAGATAATAAGTAAAAACAGGTTTTTTTTTTGTGGCAATATGCAGCCATGAATATGTATGATCTCATCTTGATCATGAGGTTTATTCCCAGCCACTGCAGTGTAATATTCTCCTGCACCTTTAAACATTTATTTTGTTTTTTAACCCACAGCACCAGTCTCCAATGTAATGGTAACCTCCAGCAGCACAGAGCTGGTGGAGTTCACATCTGTCAGTCTGTCCTGCTCCTCCTCTGGATCCCCTCTCTCTTTCCTCTGGCTGAACAGCAGCTCTGAGGTTACAGGAAGTGACAGAGTTCAGATCACTGATGGAAACTCCACTTTAACTATAACTAATGTGACGCGCTACGACCAGGGACCCTTCAGGTGTCGTGTTTCTAATCCTGTCAGTCATGGCGCCAGCAAGGCAGTAACCCTCATCATCTACTGTGAGTTACGACATGCTCGATTTTTTTACTTTCTTTGAATTGCTGTTTTGTTTTCCCTTACATTCAATTGGCCCATAAATTATTTATCTGACAATATTTCCTTTACAAGACTCACATGTGGAAAGGTCACACAGATGTTCATTTTTGGAAATCCCTTTTGTACAGATGTTTCTTCTGTGTATAATATATATATATATATACACATAATTCAGTTATTAATGCATACTAACTTTTTGATGTTTCTCCCCTAATTTCAGATGGCCCAGAAAATGTTAATTTGAAAATATCTCCGCCTCATAAACCCTATGTGGAAGGATCAAACATCAGCCTGAGTTGCTCAGCTGTCTCCAACCCTTCGGCCCACTATACGTGGTTTCTGAATGGGGGCCTGCTGTCAAAAGGATCGCAGCTCAATCTGACAAACAGTCAGACAAATCAAAGTGGAAGCTACAGCTGTCAGGCCTTTAACGACAAAACTCTGAGATATGAAACATCTCATCCTGCATCTATCTCTGTACTGGGTAAGTTTTGTGCAAAGAAATACAGATGGCAAAGATGCGTATCTGAGAATAAAGCATTAGATACGTAAAGGATAATGTGCAGGGGGCACTGCGCGTTGGGATCCTGCTCACTTTTTTTAAATAATTGATCGCCTCGCTGCACATTATCCCTTTTATTACAAGGCTACATATTACATACAAAATCA